GGTAAGGGGGGGGGGGGGGGGGGGTAGAAGGATTACTTTATCCTATCCTAGGTATTCCTTAAAGAGGTGGGGTTTCAAATGTCTCCGGAAGGTGGTGAGTGACTCCGCTGTCCTGGCGACGTGAGAGAACTTGGGAAGGTTGAACACCAGACGGGCTGCGGCATTCTGGATGAGTTGTAGGGGTTTATTGTCACAGGCAGGGAGCCCAGCCAACAGCGAGTTGCAGTAATCCAGACGGGAGATGACAAGTGCCTGGATTAGGACCTGTGCCGCTTCCTGTGTAAGGCAGGGTCGTACTCTCCGAATGTTGTAGAGCATGAACCTACAGGATCGGGTCACCGCCTTGATGTTAGCGGAGAACGACAGGGTGTTGTCCAGGGTCACGCCAAGGCTCTTCGCACTCTGGGAGGAGGACACAACGGAGTTGTCAACCGTGATGGCGAGATCATGGAACGGGCAGTCCTTCCCAGGGAGGAAGAGCAGCTCCGTCTTGCCAAGGTTCAGCTTGAGGTGGTGATCCGTCATCCATACTGATATGTCTTCCAGACATGCGATTTGCCACCTGGTTATCAGAAGGGGGAAAGGAGAAGATTAGTTGTGTGTCGTCTGCGTAGCAATGATAGGAGAGGCCATGTGAGGATATGACAGAGCCAAGTGACTTGGTGTATAGCGAGAATAGGAGAGGGCCTAGAACTGAGCCCTGGGGGACACCAGTGGTGAGAGCACGTGGTGCGGAGACAGCTTCTCGCCACGCCACTTGGTTGGAGCGACCGGTCAGGTAGGACGCAATACAAGAGTGAGCCGCGCCGGAGATGCCCAGCTCGGAGAGGGTGGAGAGGAGGATCTGATGGTTTACAGTATCAAAGGCAGCAGACAGGTCTAGAAGGACAAGAGCAGAGGAGAGAGAGTTAGCTTTAGCAGTGCGGAGAGCCTCCGTGATACAGAGAAGAGCAGTCTCAGTTGAATGACCAGTCTTGAAACCTGACTGGTTTGGATCAAGAAGGTCATTCTGAGAGAGATAGCAAGAGAGTTGGCTAAAGATGGCACGTTCAATAGTTTTGGAGAGAAAAGAAAGAAGGGATACTGGTCTGTAGTTGTTGACATCAGAGGGATCGAGTGTTGGTTTTTGAGAAGGGGTGCAACTCTCGCTCTCTTGAAGACGGAAGGGACATGGCCAGCGGTCAAGGATGAGTTGATGAGCGAGGTGAGGTAAGTGAGAAGGTCACCAGAGATGGTCTGGAGATGAGAGGAGGGGATAGGGTCAAGCGGGCAGGTTGTTGGGCGGCCGGCCGTCACAAGTCGCAAGATTTTATCTGGAGAGAGAGGGGAGAAAGAAGTCAAAGCATAGGGTAGGGCAGTGTGAGCAGGACCAGCAGTGTCATTTGACTTAACAAACGAGGATCGGATGTCGTCAACCTTCTTTTCAAAATGGTTGACGAAGTCATCCACAGACAGGGAGGAGGGGGTGGAGGGGGAGGAGGATTCAGCAGGGAGGAGAAGGTGGCAAAGAGCTTCCTAGGGTTAGAGGCAGATGCTTGGAATTTAGAGTGGTAGAAAGTGACTTTAGCAGCAGAAACTGATGAAGAAAATGTAGAGAGGAGGGAGTGAAAAGATGCCAGGAGGGAGTCTAGTTTTCCTCCATTTCCGCTCGGCTGCCCGGAGCCCTGTTCTGTGAGCTCGCAATGAGTCATCAAGCCACGGAGCTGGAGGGGAGGGCCGAGCCGGCCCGGGAGGATAGGGGACATAAAGAGTCAAAGGATGCAGAAAGGGAGGAGAGGAGGGTTGAGGAGGCAGAATCAGGAGATTGGCGGGAGAAGGATTGAGCAGAGGGAAGAGATGATAGGATGGAAGAGGAGAGAGTAGCGGGAGAGAGAGAGCGACGGTTGCGACGGCGCATTACCATCTGAGTAGGGGCAGAGTGAGTAGTGTTGGAGGAGAGCGAGAGAGAAAAGGATACAAAGTAGTGGTCGGAGACATGGAGGGGAGTTGCAGTGAGATTAGTAGAAGAACAATCTAGTAAAAATGAGGTCAAGCGTATTGCCTGCCTTGTGAGTAGGGGGGGACGGTGAGAGGGTGAGGTCAAAAGAGGAGAGGAGTGGAAAGAAGGAGGCAGAGAGAAATGAGTCAAAGGTAGACGTAGGGAGGTTGAAGTCCCCCAGAACTGTGAGGGGTGAGCCATCCTCAGGAAAGGAACTTGTCAAGGCGTCAAGCTCATTGATGAACTCTCCAAGGGAACCTGGAGTGCGATAAATGACAAGGATGTTAAGCTTAAATGGGCTAGTGACTGTGACAGCATGGAATTCAAATGAGGAGATAGACAGATGGGTCAGGGGAAAAATAGAGAATGTCCACTTGGGACAGATGAGGATTCCTGTGCCACCACCCCGCTGACCAGATGCTCTCGGGGTATGCGAGAACACATGGTCAGACGAGGAGAGAGCAGTAGGAGTAGCAGTGTTTTCAGTGGTAATCCATGTTTCCGTCAGCGCCAAGAAGTCGAGGGACTGGAGGGTAGCATAGGCTGAGATGAACTCTGCCTTGTTGGCAGCAGAACGGCAGTTCCAGAGGCTGCCTGAGACCTGGAACTCCACGTGGGTGGTGCGTGCAGGGACCACCATGTTAGAGAGGCAGCAGCCATGCGGTGTGAGGCGTTTGTATAGCCTGTGCGTAGAGGAGAGAACAGGGATAGAGAGAGGCATAGTTGACAGGCTACAGAAAATGGCTACAATAATGCAAAGGAGATCGGAATGAAATGAACTAAACATCTGGGAAAGGAGAGAGCGGGGCCTCCCTCACCACAACACCCAAATATAACTCTCCCAACTTCCACCTCAGAAACTATAATTGTTGTGAACTACAGCGGTTCAATGTTTTCTAGGAATAGACTAACTTAGTTTATTCAGCTAGCTAACGTGGTACAGTATTCTTCCGTGAAAATCGTCCAGGGCACCTAGTCATAAGACGCCACAGCCAGCTAGCATGCCGGACTCCAACAACACAGTTTAGCACCAATACTCGGCCACAACAAACCACCAGTGTGTCAACACGGCGGCAGGTAGCTTAGTGGGTAAGAGCGTTGTGCCAGTAACCGAAAGGTCGCTGGTTCTAATCCCCGAGCCGACTATGTGAAAAATCTGTCGATGTGCCCTTAAGCAAGGCACTTAACCCTAATTGCTCCTGTAAGTCGCTCTGGATAAGAGCGTCTGCTAAATGACTAAAATGTAAATGTAAATGTAAACACGCCAAGCAGATCGTTCGTGTCCGTGTCTAACGTTGTGGGTTAGTCCCGACAGCTTGAGCGAGTCCGTCGTCAACTTATTCAGCCAGTTAGTTAGCTAGAATAGTTAGCATACTAGCTAGCCATTGCTTTCAGACAAAGAAGAAACCCCTCCTTTCACGGCACGAACACACAGAGAGAGCCAAGCTAACGTTAACTAGTCACCCATGTCCCGAATTCCTTGAACGACTCTGGCTACCAATATGTAAAAACAAAACACAAATGTAGGTTATAACTTACCCCTAGCAGCTACTGTTAGCTAGCCAAGTGCAAAGCTAGCCACTGAATTGACTCAGCCAGTTCGCGTCTGTTCGCTAGGTCGTTCCAGCTATTGTTTACTAGTAGCTATCCAGGTAGCAACAAGCTAGCTAAATTTCAAGCACAGTAGCCACTTACTACCTAACGTTAATGGTTCAGACAATGAGGTTAGAAAACAGCTCAATGGTAGGCATTATTGTATGTAATTATTGTAGGCAGCCAGCTGGCGTAATTACAGGCACTCTCAGGCGTGAAACAACTATACCGTTGCTAGTAGTTGCCAGTAGCTACCCGCCAGCTAGTCCAGGTAGTGGGTTAGCTAGCTAGCTTCGTGCTTCACCGGGCTCAGCCGAATACAATACTAACCTACAATAATTACACACAACAACCCACGATAACTACCTACAATACCTAACTACAATCTAAATACATAGTTTAAGCTTTACTCGACAAAGCCCAAACTATGTATAAAGCCAAGCTTACCCGACGACCTCACCCGTTTTACATTTAAATTTTTTATTTATGTTATCTATTTATTTATTTTACCCCGGAAGTTATCGGCTAATAGGATATATAAGTTATCCTGTACGAGCTTATGTAACGAATGCATTACGATGTTACAGGTGTCAAACTTATGGGCATGTGGCAGCAATGTGTAGGAGGGAGGTTCCAAGGTGTGAGAAGTGTGCAGAGGGGCATGAGACAAAGGAATGTGTAGCATTGGGGAAAGTTGTGGTATGTGCTTATTGTAGGGGTGCCCATGGGGCTGGGGATCAGAAATGTCCCGTGCGAGAGAGGCAGGTTGAGGTTTCCAGGGTAAGAGTAGTGCAGAAGTTGTCATATGCTGAGGCAGTGAAGAAAGTAGGGGAAAATGGGTCAAGGGGGAGAAGTGGTGAGAGAAGTAGATATGTACCAGTACAGCGGGAAAGGCCAAGAAGTGATATATGCTTCAGTAAGATTGGATTTTTAGCATTTATAGCAATGGTTATTAATTGTACTGCAGGGATGGAACATAAGTTGAAGAAAATTGAGGTTGTGGTGGCAGCTGCAGAGAGGTATTTGGGTGTGTGAGACTTTACATCAGAAGAGTTACTTGGTGTGTTAAGTGGTGATGTCCCATACTTTCAGGTTGAGGGCATGAGGTAGGATTAAATAGATTTAAATAGCGGAGTAGGGTGGTGTAAATGTTATTTTATCAATTTTTTTGTTGAATTTGTGAGTGTAGTGTTAGATGGTAGGGTATTTCTTTATTGTATTTTATTTTTCAAGCAAAATATAAGGAAGTTGTACTCCAGTCTAGTAGGTGGCGGTAATGCAACATATTGGATGCCAACCGCCGTTAAACCTCATCAAAGAAGAAGAAGAAGTTATCGGCTAACTAGTTTTTCTTCCGGATTAGTCCAACATGGTCGCGTCCTTATGATTTACGATATATGTACAGTCAAGCTGCAAAAAACTTGAAAACATGCAAATCAAAGAAATAGTCAAGTGGAATGTACGGGTGTCTATGCTGTACGCTTTCGGTATATGGACATTGCTCGGCACATACGGATATTATCAGTACATGGGGCGCAATGAAGAAAAGCCAGGTAGGCTACTTGCTTCACAGCCGCTCAGCTAGCTAACGTTGGCTAACTAGCTAGCTAGCGGCCACAGCTTGTCTAGCTATCTATCTAAATACCAATACCATAGCTACAGATCACATTATATTATGGACTGTTATTGAACAAAGTTGCTAATGATTTCTAATGAAAGTGCTTCCAAAGATTGACTATTCAATTTCCTCGACCTTGCAATTGTTGATAAGCTCAAGTTAGACTTTGTCAGAAATGTATCAGCTTTCAGCACAGATTTACCTTTATTGAATGACAAAATTGCATGTTTAGTAAATTCTGTATGTTTCTTCGTCTTGTCTTCCGGCAGTCAAAGAAGAGAAGGAGGAAGAACCTCCAAATCCTAGAGAAGTGACTATCCAGAGTGCCCACATGAAAACCACCATCATATACAAGGAAAACTTTGTTCCTTATTCTACAAGGATCTACAATTTTGTCAGCTCGCTCAGTGGGGACTCAGCATCTGCAGACAGCCAAGACAATACAAAGTAATGGTGAAAATGTACATGGACAGATGCCATTGCCTGCCTAGGCCATCATGCCTAGGCTACCACATTTTAGATGTGTGTAGCTAAATACTTAGTGTTAATTCCTATCTTGTAAATTGTACTTTGATTATATCTCTGTGTGTAAAATACACTGATTTAAATTATTTGTTACTTGTACAATTAATTTAAATACCACAATATCCCTCTGTTCGAGAACCCCTCTGCAAGCCTTGAAACCCTCTCTACCTACACTGCATACATTCTCAATGCGATGTGGCAGTCCTGTGCATTGCTGCTGTATTACATTAAATCCAATCAGATTTTTTGCAAACATCTGAAATAGGAGCATAACCTTTATACAACTAGCAGAGTGTTTGACAAGCTGGCCTATATCATGCATGATTTTCAGGACTTCAAGATAAATCAATACAACTTCTGTCAAATACACTTGATTTGTAAATTAAGTGCAACTGCTTCTTAAATGTTTGCTATCATCTGTGATCACAGTAATGTTATATCCATTTATCTGAGGATGTCCTCTACACATTAGCCTATTATGATTTGTGGATTGTGTCTGCATGATTACATTGGGGGAGTACCAGTACCACTCACCACTTTTTAATTGGAGACAACTGTTAGCAGTAAAATATTTTACAGTTGAAAATGTTCATGATTTGAAGAGGGAATTCAACAACTTTTGGAGGGTAGTGAAAGTTGATAAAAATTGCTCTTTATTGAGACAAAAACAGTATGGATAAAATCAACGTGTCTCTGCCTTTAGCTCAGTCAGCTCTTCTCTGTCCATTTCTTAATGCTTGCTTGGATTGGTTTTACAGAGGGTAAAATGATGGAGGCTTTAGAAAAATAAATAGAAATGCATTTTCAAAATGGCCACTTACGGGTTCAGTGACCAATCACAATCTGGATACAAAACGTTGGTTCTCATGTGATTGGTTCCCATTTCCAATTCCCATTGTGATTGGTCCCGTCCCTAAACCATTTTGAAATATATAAAAGCCTTAATCAATTTTCCATCTGACTGTAAAACTAACCTGAGCATGAAACAATGGCTACTCTATGCCGCTACGCAAATGCAATGATAGATCTATGCAATGCTTTATTATTAAGGTAAAATGTTTTTCACCCCATGCATTCCGGTGTTACTGATGGTTTCTCTGAACTGATGGCTTCCACGGTTGTGGCTAAATGGAGTACAGCGCCATCTAGTTGTCGCGTCGGGGACAACTGTAGCATTTTAGCTAACTCTAACCATAACCTAATTCTCCTTACCTGCTGCGTTAGTTCTCCTAACCTGCTGCGTTAGTTCTCCTTACCTGCTGCGTTAGTTCTCCTTACCTGCTGCGTTAGTTCTCCTAACCTGCTGCGTTAGTTCTCCTTACCTGCTGCGTTAGTTCTCCTAACCTGCTGCGTTAGTTCTCCTAACCTGCTACGTAAAGTCACTGCTGTCCGTAGCTTAACTCCATCTAGCCACAACCATAGAAGCCATCAGTATCACCACACCGGTACCTCAGAGCCTGATTTTTTGCAGGTAAATTCATTAACACTTCCATTGTTTAACACCTCCCTAATTTGAAATGCAAACATCCCCCATGATTTAACAACACCTCACCCTTTAAATTTTCCAGTTACTCACTGATATGTATAAAAGGGGTATACTGCCTGCAAGAAAGTGGTAAATAAGAGGCTGTTTGAAAGGGGGTCATATAAACATTGCCTTATATTTTTTTACAGGTAATATACCAAGTTTTCTGTCTGAAATGGGTATTACACTGCCCTCCAAGAGTTGCTGAATTTCCTCTTCATTTTGAGCGAGGTAGTAGCAGTGCTCCCTTCCCTTTCAAAATGTTTATAATGACAGTACAGTAGGTGTGCAAAACCCAAATTTCACCCCAGGAATCAGTACAAAAGGTATTTGTAGCACTTTCATCCTCTGTCTGATATGGTCCCGTGTAGCTCAGTTGGTAGAGCATGGCGCTTGCAACGCCAGGGGTGTGTGTTCGATTCCCACGGGGGACCAGTATGAATTTTTTTTTATGCACTCACTAACTGCAAGTCGCTCTGGATAAGAGCGTCTGCTAAATGACTGAAATGTAAAATGTAAGAAAAGGTATCTACTGCCACCTGCTGCCTCTAGATGCCTCTGACAACGCAGCAAGGTTTCATGGGAAAAGTGCACCACTTCAGTCTGATTCATTCTAAGGAGCGAGCTAATCAAAACAATGAAGGCAATCATTCAAAGAGTGACAACAGCGAGCGTGTCAGGTGAGTAACGCTATCTACTTATTATTATTATTTTCTATATCGCTCATAGTGTCAATGAATGGTAATTCTTCACCGGTAGGCATGTTGCAGGCAGCACAGAGGATTGCTAACGTTAGCTAGCTTGGTAGCCGCACGGCTATCCAATCATTTATTTATAAAACCATTTTTCAGTGGTGTAAAGTACTTCAGTAAAAACACTTTAAAGTACTACTTAAGTCGTTTTTGGAGGTATCTGTACTTTACTATTTATATTTTTTGCCAACTTTTACTTTCATTTCACAACATAAAGAAAATAATGTACTTTTTACTCCATACATTTTCCCTGACACCCAAAAGAACTCGTTACATTTTGACAGGAAAATGGTCCAATTCACACACTTATCAAGAGAACATCACTCTACTCTACTGCCTCTGACTCACTACGGTAAACACAAATGCTTCGTTAGTAAATTATGTCTGAGTGCCCCTGGCTATCCGTAAATATAATAAAACAAGAAAATTGTGCCGTCAGGTTGACTTAATATAAGGAATTTGGAGTGATTTATACTTTTTCTTTTGATACTTAAGTATATTTGAGAAATTCCATTTACTTTTGATACTTAAGTATATTTAAAACCAAATACTTTTAGACTTTTACTCAAGTAGTATTTTACTGGGAGACTTTCACTTTCTATTGTCATTTTCTATAAAGGTACAGTATCTTTACTTTTACTCAAGTATGACAATTGAGTACTATTTCCACCACTGCCGATTTTACATCAGGAGATGTCAGAAATTGCTTATACAGAAATCCAGCCTAAAAACCCAAAGAACAAGCAATGTAGATGTATAAGCACGGTGGCTAGGAAAAACTCTCTAGAAAGGCAGGAACCTTGGAAGAAACCTAGAGTGGAACCAGGCTCTGGGGGGTGGCCAGTCCTTTTCTGATTGTGCCGGGTGGAGATTATAAGAGTACATGGCCATTAAGACTGGATTGTTCTTCAAGATGTTCAAACTTTCATAGATGACGAGCACGGTCAAATAATAATCACAGTGGTTATAGAGGGTGCAACAGGTCAGCACCTCAGGAGTAAATGTAATTCCCACTTTTTGAGAACCTGGCTAAAGAGCTGTAGCTATATGCCATGCTGAATTGCCCCAATATGTAATGATGTGTGTACTGACATGTCCAACGACTATTAGCTCTAGGTAGGTTCACACTGAAAGTGGTCGTCACTAGTTACCACAGCCACAAAGTCATAAACCCTGCCTATTCCTACAATTTATCTGCATAAAATGTGATTTGAAACCTAACCTTAACACTAACCACAATGTTAACCTTATGCCTAACCTTAAATTAAGACCCCAAAGCACATTTGTGCTTTCATGAATGTTTACGATGTAGCCAAATGTGACTTTGTGGCTGTGGTAACTAGTGATAATCCTTGTTGAATCTCCCAGATACTGGACTGTACTGCACTGCAGCAGCCTACCACTACTTGCAAGACTGTCAGTGTGTGCTAGATTAACCACACTTTTTGAGGAGGATGTGTCTGACACTGAATATGAAAAGGACTACATTATTTTATTGATTTGATCATTCTGTCCTGTGTTGTTACAGTGGGAGAGCTGCAGATCAGCTCAATAGGCAGAGGACTGTGTGTGTTGCTGGGTATATCCATGGAGGACACACAGAAGGATGTTAACTACATGTGAGTGTGGGTTCATTCAGTGACAAAACATTGTCTGTGCACTACAGTACTGTAGCCCTTCGCCTACATAGGCAGGGCATATGGGCCAGGTCAGGTTCATATCTGTAATAGGAATTTGTAAGAAACAGTAGCATTCACTTAGAGGTATTCTTTTGTATTTAGCCCATTAAGATTCTATTAAATTAGTTCTATATTTCTATAAATTCTATGCCCCATAATGCATCTCTCTGCTTCTCAGGGTTCGTAAGATCCTCAACCTGCGTCTGTTTGAGGATGAGAACGGCCGGGCGTGGAGCAAAAGCGTAATGGACAGGGAATATGAAGTCCTATGTGTCAGTCAGTTCACTCTACAGTGCATACTTAAGGGTAACAAGCCTGATTTCCATGCTGCCATGCCTGCAGAGCTGGCCCAGCCCTTCTATAATAACATCCTGGAACACCTGAGGAGCACCTACAAGCCTGAGATGATCAAAGGTGGGTGAACACACAGAACTAAATAGAAAACTATATTACTATGGGTGAACATCACTGACTGACACTGCAGGCATAAAGTCTGCTACATAGGTACTAGGCCTATATCAGCTGCTATAACTATATCACAAGCTACTATACAAGCCTGAGATGATCAAAGGTGGGTCGGTATCACTGGCTAATACACGGCAGGCAGCCTAGAGGTTAGAGCATTGGTACAGTAACCGAAAGGTTCCTTGTTCGAATCCCTGAGCCGGCAAGGTGTAAAACTCTGCCGTTCTGCCCTTGAGCAAGGCAGTTAACCGCGACAACAACTGCTCCTCGGGTGCCGATGATGTCGATTAAGGCAGCCCCCCGCACCTCTCTGATTCAGTGGGGTTGGGTTAAATGCGGAAGACACATTTCAGTTGAATGCATTCAGTTGTACAACTGTCTGGGTATCAGTGTTCCCTCTAAGCTGCATGCAGCTCCCATCAGACTGCCGAGCAGAAGAAATATCCGCCCGGCCAGAGAAGCATGAGTTTAAACTTCACTCACCTTTCTTGAGTTTTCCCCTTTAGTTAACACTATCAACATTTCACTCTACTGTGGGAATTGTGACCGAATCAACGCAATGTTAACCAATTTCAATGTAACATACCGACATAAAACAAACTATGCAAGACTTGATATACAAAACTAACTGCAAGATATTTTCTTGTAAGCAGAGCGCATTGGAGTAGGATTCTGTTACATTGACAGGCAAGACTCAGGCCCATACTCTACACAGACCGGTACGCCATAACCAATCAGAGCTGCAGTAGGCCCATATGCAAATAGCCATTGCCATATATGGATCTGTGTCGTTCACTTTGAACTGGTCCGTATTTAGGCTACAGTATGAGCTGTCGCGAGTAGATGCGCTAGGGGGGGTCCTAATGTTTGTTATACTCAGTGTATATTACAATATCACTATATCTATCTACAGGCCTGGGCTGATAAAGAGTTGGGCTGGGTGAGCATCCCTGGCTAACTCTGCAAGATGAGCCATATATAGAGTTTTAAAAATAGACTACTATTGAACAGAATTTCACATCCAGTGACCCGAAAGTGTTGAGGACACGTTGCTGTGTAGGCAGTTTGTGGGCACAGAGAAATGGACTCTCATAAGACACTCTAGATAGGAAAAGCCTAAATGAAGATATCAATTTCATAGCTAATAGGCACAATTATCTTGGGGATTTAATAGATGGTAAAAGCATCAGCATTCTTCTAAGTGTGTGGTTTTAATATTTAATAGCATTGGGTCAATGTTTTGCTCGATCAGGGTTATGATGGATTGCAAAAGGTCATTTGTTCAAGCAAAGATGTGAAGCTACACTGAACAAAAATATAAACGCAACATTTCGAAGATTTTACTTAGTTACAGTTCATATAAGGAAATCAGTCAATTGAAATAAATTCATTAGGCCCTAATCTATGGATATCACATGACTGGGCAGGGGCGCAGCCATGGGTGGGCCTGTGAGGGCATAGGCCCACCCACTTGGCAGCCAGGCCCACCCACTGGGGAGCCAGGCCAAGGCAATCCAAATTAGTTTTTTCCCACAAAAGGGCGTTATTACAGACAGAAATACTCCTCAGCACAAACCCCCCCCAGACGATCCCGCAGGTGAAGAGGCCGGATGTGGAGGTCCTGGGCTGGCATGGTTACACGTGGTCTGCGGTTGTGATGCCGGTTGGACGCACTGCCAAATTCTCTAAAACGATGTTGGAGGCATCTTATGGTAGAGAAATGAACATTCAATTATCTGGCAACAGCTCTGGTGGACATTCCTGCAGTCAGCATGCCAATTGAACACTCCCTCAAAACTTGAGACATCTGTGGCATTGTGTTGTGTGACAAAACGGCGCCTTTTATTGTCCCCAGCACAAGGTGCACCTGTGTAATGATCATGCTGTTTAATCAGCTTCTTGATATGCAACACCTGTCAGGTGGATGGATTATTTTGGCAAAGGAGAAATGCTCACTAACAGGGATATAAAGAAATGTGTGCCCAAAATATGAGAGAAATAAGCTTTTTGTGCGTAAGGAACATTTCTGGGATTTCTTTTTTTAGCCAAATACAACAGGTGTAGGTAGACCTTACAGTGAAATGCTTACTTACAAGCCATTAACCAACAATGCAGTTTTAAGATAGAATACCAAAAAATATATATACAGTGCCCTCCACAATTATTGGCACCCCTGTTTAAGATGTGGTCGAGGACTTCCAAAAATTCTCATTTTTTTTAAACAACATAGAACCCAAATGCAAAAAAAGAGAAAAATCCAACCTTTTATTTAAGTACATTACTTTGGTGTAAAAAAATAAAATCACACATTTAGAAAAAAAAAAACTTGAAATCATGTGTCCCACAATTATTGGCACCCCTGATGTTAATACTTTGTACAACCCCCTTTTGCCAACAAGACAGCACTTAATCTCCTCCTATAACATTTCACAAGATTGGAGAACACAGAGAGAGGGATCTTTGACCATTCTTCTTTGCACAATCTTTCTAGATCATCCAGTGTCCTGGGTCCTCTCTTATGCACTCTCCTCTTTAGCTCGCCCCACAGGTTTTCGATTGGGTTGAGGTCTGGGGACTGAGATGGCCATGGGAGGACCTTGAGTTTGTGACTGCTGAACCATTTTTGTGTAGATTTTGCCACATGTTTTGGATCATTATCATGCTGAAAGACCCAATGACGACCCATCTTCAGCTTTCTGGCAGAGGCCATCAGGTTTTTATTTAAAATGTCCTGGTAGTTCAAAGCGTTCATAATGCCATGCACCCTAACAAGGTTCCCAGGGCCTTTGGAAGAGAAACAGGCCCACAGCATCACAGATCCTCCACCATACTTCACGGTGGGCATGAGGTGCTTTTCGGCATACTCATCTTTTGTTTTACGCCAGACCCACTTAGAGTGTTTGTTGCCAAAAAGCTAAATCTTAGTCTCATCTGACCAAAGCACACGATCCCAGTTGAAGTCCCAGTGCCGCTTAGCAAACTCCAGACGTTTACGTTTGTGAGTGTTAGTGAGAAAAGGCTTTTTCCTTGCATGCCACCCAAACAGCTTGTTGGCATGTAGAGAGCGTCTGATGGTTGTTTTGGAGACTTTGTGACCCCAAGATGCCACTCTTTGATGCAATTCTGTGACAGTGAGCTTAGGACTTTTTTTTACTTCTCTTACCATCCTCCTCACTGTGCGTTGTGGCAAGATAAACTTGGGACCTCTTCCAGCCTTGTTTGTCACTGTTCCAGTTGTTTTAAACTTCTTAATGATTCCTCTGACTGTAGATACGGGCAAGTTAAGGCGAGTGGCTATTTTCTTGTAGCCATTGCCTGACTTATGAAGGTCGACACAAATCTGCCTTACTTGAATGGTGTGTTCTCTTTGCCATGTTGACAAATGGGTAAGAGAATTAGGCCTCTGTGTCACGTCATATTTATACCCCAGGGAAACAGGAAGTCATGAATTACTAATTAAAAGTTCCTAGATACCCTGACCAACTTTAGCAACTACAGAAAAATATATTTTTAAAAAAAATCTATAAAAATTTTCAGCGGAATTGTTAGGGGTGCCAATAATTGTGGGACACATGATTTCAAGTATTTTTTTTTCTAAATGTGTGATTTTTTTTTTTTACCACCAAAGTAATGTACTTAAATAAAAGGTTGGATTTTTCTCTTTTTTTTGCATTTGGGTTCTATGTTGTTTAAAAAAAATGAGAATTTTTGGAAGTCCTCGACCACATCTTAAACAGGGGTGCCAATAATAGTGGAGGGCACTGTATATAAAAAAATTGAAGTAACAAATAACTTAAGAGCAGCAGTAAAATAACAATAGCGAGGCTAAATACAGGGGGTACCGGTACCGAGTCAAAGTGCGGGGGCACCGGTTAGTCGAGGATGGGACCAACACTTTCCATGTTGCGTTTATATTTTTGTTCAGTGTAATTGATAGCAAAAGGTCAATATCACAAACACCTGGAGAACTCTAGTGAATAGAAGGGTTGCTGTTCATAGCTTGGGGAATTGAGACACTAGTTTAAGGATTGACCAGGGTTAGGGTAGATAAGCCAATGCATTCCTATGGGAAATAGCCCAGACTACAGGGTCACATGCAGTAGCCTATATCCTTAAGGTCACTCAAGACTCGACTCCTTACCTGAAAGGCTCGGATATTTAGCTTTAATCGCCGTGCTTCTCCGGTTTGCAATACAGAGGTTCCATACATATCATTGTTTGAGTCGTTAGTGAATGGTCTAGTTCACAGCATATAGATAAGTGTTCTATTTAATTCTATGGGTCACAGTGCAAGGATTATGGTGGTTCCACATTGGGGTGGTTTTCTTTTATCAGGTTGTAGTTGGTGATGGTGTTTGGTGTTGAATTGGGTCAAGCCACCAGGGAGAAGGTGTAGTGGAGAAACTCTGTGTCCCTGCTTGTAGTGGGACACAAGCTCTCTAATTAGTATTCTCACTGCCAAGGTCCAATCCCCTGAGTGGGAGAAACAAGATGATTCGGCACTTTTTAGAACACAACACCCAGCCACTGGTTTCGTGGGCAGATGGTGTAATAAATCTAAGCATACCTGGGCGAAAGGGGAACATTTAAGTATAAACTTCCTGTCTTATTGTGTCTTAACACCCTCCACTCCCATATCCCTGCTGTACTGAGATGCCACCTGCTTATAAATCATTGCTATAGATTAATATGCACAATAAGCAAACTGCAGTGGCCATTACTGGATGGAAACGTTAAGCGTTGTCATTTATATTGGCCTATAGAGGAAGGGGGGGGAAACAAAGGAGGATGTATTAAGGTTAACCTTTACATTCTCCTTTTGTCTTGTGTTTTTAGACGGGCAGTTTGGGGCCAAAATGCAGGTTCACATCCAGAATGACGGACCAGTCACCATCGAGCTGGTGTCTCCTTCTGCTCCCATGGACCCCAAACAGGTACAGTTGATGTTGTTGATGCTGTTGATTTCTGCAAGAAGAAGTTGGCCCATGGTGTATGATGGTGTCATATTGCGGAGTCTCCCTTTAGTAGGCTATGTATATTGCTAGACTATATTTGTTTTGAGTGGTTCAGAAGTTCTCAGCACTCACTGTCTATCCTGCTATCCTCCAGCAGGTGGTGCTGCAGGTCTAACTTCTCCTGGTAGTAACAGATGGAGAACAGATCCTGATCAACGTGCAAAGCTGCACTATTGCTTTTCTTAGTGCAGTGTTAGTCAATCTCTGGTCCATAGACCGGCACCGCTCCATGGAATGTGGCTTACTGGTTCCTGAGATAGCTGTCGGACATTTAGTTGGTCAGTTTTCTGTTGTAATTTTAGTACCTGGCTCCAAGGAGGAGAACCATAGATTTCCCAGTCCCTGGTACAAAAAACGATCCTGATACTGTAGATGTGTACTGATTTATCCCATGAATCTGTCCTGCTCTGTCCCAGCACCCCTCTGGCCTAGCTGAAAGACCACTGATTGGCCAAAACACACTCTGAAAGGTTTGAGTTGTCATGTGTCAGAAGTGTGTGTGTGTGGGCGACATAACATATGATTGGCAGGTCAGGGCGAGGGGGAGGGGGCGAGTCGCCACCACATGGGTGCCCCCACTCTCCCCACAGGGATCGGTTGACTCCTGAGTGACTGTGCACTCTGTTACCATGACGACAGCCTCCGCAGGGGAGACTCAGGCCATGTTGGCTAAGAAATATATTTTAATGTGGAATAATGATTTATGAGATCTGATGTATAGCCTAAGAGTGACAAGTTCACCCACAATGTTATATTAATAATGGATGTCCTCTCTTAGGGCCAGTTTCCTGGCTCAATCTAAATTCACCATTGAACATGCTTTCAGGACTAGGCTTAATCCTGATCCATGAAACCAACCTTTGTGTATTACTGTGCATCTGTTTTTGAATGGTAAACTATGTGAAAGGTCATTTAAGTTTATTGTAGGCAATCTATCCATCCTTAAACATGACAAATGGATAACCATTGGGTAACACTGCTGATTCCACAGTATCTCCCAGTCCTGTTGTGTAACACAGTAGGATTTGAAGGACCTAAAGCCTAGATTAATGTGTTACACCACCACATCTACTTTAAGACATCGCTCTACCATCCAAACAGCAGAAAGTAGTCTGGACCACTGCAAATAGCAGCAGCCATGAGGGAGTAGGGACATCCCTCCCTGCTTCTCCTAAACCGTCCGCTTCACATTGTATTTTATTCAGTGAGTCATTTGAAATTGTAGTGTTTTAGTTATTTATGCATTGTTGAAGACCTCCTGAATGTGATTCCAGTCACTTCCGTGTGTGTGTGTATGAGTGTGTGTGCATGCGTGGTCTTTGTGTCTGTGTGTGTGTAAACTTGGCTGACTGCTCGATCCAATGGATGTAAGCGGCAGTCCTCAGAATTTTAATCTTGTCTGTTTTGGATGTTTGGGATGTTGTTGTGCAGTTAGAGGGGAGTATGCCAAGACTGAGAGGATCACGGGTCAACTGGGGGAGCAGCTTAAACACACACACACACACTCTCCCTTTCCATGAATCAGAAGCTTTATCCTATACTAGGAGAGGGACAACAGAGCCTAGAAAACAATAGCATTAAATCAAGTTATCCTGTTTCCATTGTTCAGTGAAAGTAATTTTGACTACGAAACAGTGGTCTTAATCACTGAAATGTCATGTGATCGTTTTTGTAATCATTTTTATTGGGGGTGTTCAAAGCAACACGACACCCTGGGTAGGATGGTATCATTGAGAGGTGTAATGAGAAAGATTTGCTAGCTAGCTAACCGCGATGGAGTTGGTACGGGGATAACTAGATACATGGTGGTTTTGGAGTCTTATTCCCCTTAAATAATGAAGAGTTTGTGGGATGTTGTGGCTTTAGCATGACATTTAAGTCATACATATTTCCTGTGGTGCTCATGAAAGTTTTAGCATGTATGTTTACAGACCTTTAGTGTAGAGTTGTTGTTTAATGTTCACTGAGCAGAACAGAGATGGCTGCTACAGTAGTTTCCTCAGAGAGGAGTTCAGTAGATTAGCCTTGCAGCTAACCATAGATGGTGAGTGAATGGGAAGATGAATCAGCTCTTTCTGAGTGTGACCGCTTTATATTGTCAAGACAGTTATTGCTTCATGGAAATGATCATGGCTTCTGAAAATAGCAGCACGGTGAAAAAAAGCTCTGATGTTTATTTCTCTTTCTTGTTCTGCCCTTGTCTTTTCTTTTTCATCCTCTCTTCTGAGGACATTTGTTTTTATGTAGCCAATTATTTTATACAGTTATACATAGCTAGGTCCCTGGGTTTTTCATGGACTTGTGACTTGACCAGTAAAAACAGGTCACGTGACCATGAAAAACTCAGGTCCCAACTAACGCATTAGATCAATCAAAGTTTTGTCCTTCTCTTTTCAACACTTTATTTCTGTATTTCTTCTCAGCTTGCTAAGCAGGAGAAACAGCAGCAGTGGAAAGAGAAGACGCGCTCTAAAGGACCCTTGGAGTCAGGCAGGGAGAGGGCCGCCCCGCACCCCAGAGAACAGGACCCTAACGCCAGCAGTGGAGCAGACGGAGACGTGTCGTCAGAGAGGGAGACCTAGGGCAGCACGGTGAGCCTGGAGAGAGACACGCACACACACGCACACACACACACACCCAACCTGCTGTACAGGTAGTGCTATAGGACTAATACAAAAACTGTACAAATAAATAACCAATACAGTTGTCCTCTGTTTTGGAGGGGTGAGGGCAGGTTAAAGTAGTGGTATCCAGTGCTGGTACAAAACACTTTACATCGCTGGTCCTTTATTGAAGCCTCTGGAGTTCTATGTATTGACTACATGGAGAAATAACCATCAATCCACATTAGTGAATTTTATACAGGTGATCCTCCATGTTATGTTGCCATTTGTAGTGAAATCCAGATGAGGTGTTTCTTGTACAGCTCAGATATTAAGGCTGTCAGCTTGTTACCTGTATAAAAGACACCTGTCCACAGAAGCAATCAATCAATCAGATTCCAAACTCTCCACCATGGCCAAGACAAAAGAGCTCTCCAAGGATGTCAGGGACAAGATTGTAGACCTACACAAGGCTGGAATGGGCTACAAGACCATCGCCAAGCAGCTTGGTGAGAAGGTGACAACAGTTGGTGCGATTATTCGCAAATGGAAGAAACACAAAAGAACTGTCAATCTCCCTCGGCCTGGGGCTCCATGCAAGATCTCACCTCGTGGAGTTGCAATGATCATGAGAACGGTGAGGAATCAGCCCAGAACTACACAGGAGGATCTTGTCAATGATCTCAAGGCAGCTGGGACCATAGTCACCAAGAAAACAATTGGTAACACACTACGCCGTGAAGGACTGAAATCCTGCAGCGCCCGCAAGGTCCCCCTGCTCAAGAAAGCACATATAAATGCCTGTCTAAAGTTTGCCAATGAACATCTGAATGATTTAGAGGAGAACTGGGTGAAAGTGTTGTGGTCAGATGAGACCAAAATGGAGCTCTTTGGCATCAACTCAACTCGCCGTGTTTGGAGGAGGAGGAATGCTGCCTATGACCCCAATAACACCATCCCCACCGTCAAACATGGAGGCGGAAACATTATGCTTTGGGGGTGTTTTTCTGCTAAGGGGACAGGACAACTTCACCGCATCAAAGGGACGATGGACGGGGCCATGTACCGTCAAATCTTGGGTGAGAACCTCCTTCCCTCAGCCAGGGCATTGAAAATGTGTCGTGGATGGGTATTCCAGCATGACAAAGACCCAAAACACACGGCCAAGGGAACAAAGGAGTGGCTCAAGAAGAAGCACATTAAGGTCCTGGAGTGGCCTAGCCAGTCTCCAGACCTTAATCCCATAGAAAATCTGTGGGGGGAGCTGAAGGTTTGAGTTGCCAAACGTCAGCCTCGAAACCTTAATGACTTGGAGAAGATCTGCAAAGAGGAGTGGGACAAAATCTTTCTATGCTTGGATACAAAAGGCACTTATGCAATCATTAGACTGGTCCTTTATGTAACTTGCAATAAACCACTGAGAGCTCTCTTATCCGCCCCGACCCATAGACGACCCTACGCCAGCAGCAGACGAACGTTCGTCAGAGAGGGGACTAGGGCAGACGTGAGCCTGGAGAAGAACGCACAACAACACACACACAACACCAACTGCTGTACAGGTAGTGCTATAGGACTAATACAAAATGAATACGTTCCCTGTTTGGAGGGGAGGGCAGGTAAGTCGTGTATCTAGTGCTGGTACAAAACACTTTACATCGCTGGTCCTTTATTGAAGCCTCTGGAGGTCCTCTATGTATTGCACATACATGGATGAAATGGAACCACTTCAATCCACATTAGTGAATGTTGTACTACACCTGGTCGTGAATCGCTCCATGTTATTGTTGCCATTGTAGTGAAATCCAGAAGGAGGCTGTTTCTTATACAATTGCTCAGATCCCCAGATTAGAGGGCTTTGCTCTTATTCATCCCCAGCGTTTGTTTGTTTACTCGTTTAAAAACCGAGAAGTGGAGTCACTGACTTAGTCAGTCAGCCTCTGCTTGGCCGAGCCTGTGTTGTGATGTGTTCCCGACCCCGCCTTACCCCGTGTTGGGGTCAAAGTGCAGTGACCCGTGGTGTAGTTGGTGTGGCATCGGAGCGAACACACCACCACACGACGTCACTACTGGGTGACGCATTCTCTCTTTCATAACCATGCACATACATACACAGATACATGCACACTCACACTTACATCATGCGTACGCAAACACATTATACACACACGGTACATACAATATATGTAATTTACACACACACACCCCATGTCCCTCATGGCTCTTCGTACTCTGCCTCCGGCGGTATCCCAGACTCCCCGGTGGTGAGGACACTGTATTCCCCTCACTTTGAGAGAGAGAGAGGGAGAGAGACTAAAGAAATATGCCGCAAGACATCCGCAAGGCCTCCCCGAGATGGTTACATAAGGGCACTTTGTCTGACAGAGTGCGAAAGCCCAGAGGGGGACAGAGAGGGGTAAAGTGAGGTAGAGTGTGACAGATTGAGAGTTGTTGTTCATTTTTCACTTTCGGGGGGGAAACGCAAAGGCAGCAGTTCTCTGTGTGTGTGTGTGATAAGCGAGCTCAGACTTGAACTTGAAGGTAGAGAAATGCTCTCTCTCCTCCTCATCTCTTACTCTCCTTTCCTCTCCTCTCTCTCGCTTCCTCAGTTCAGTCACTTTATTTTTAAAGGGGATATTTGTCTCCCTGAGGTTTGCTTACTATGACTTAAACATGAGCAGTGTGCACCACTGTGTGTCTCAGAATGATTAGAGTCATTTTGTGACAAGTTTCCGCCCTATCTTCCCTCACTTCCTTCCTGCCTACAATGTTCTATTTAGATGAAACGTTCTTGTGGTACTGTTACTGCAAGAATCGCCCTGCTCTCACCACTACAACTACTGCTCTTTACACTACCACCACTCCTACTAATGCTACAATGTCCAATGCTACTATGTCCAATACAACAACAGACTAGCTGCTTCAGTAGTTTCCTCAGAGAGGAATTCAGTAGATTAGCCTTGCAGCTAACCGTAGATGGTGAGTGAATGGGAAGATGAATCAGCTCTTTCTGAGTGTGACCGCTTTATATTGTCAAGACAGTTATTGCTTCATGAAAATGATCATGGCTTCACGGTGAAAAAAAGCTCTGATGTTTATTTCTCTTTCTTGTTCTGCCCTTGTCTTTTCTTTTCCATCCTCTCTTCTGAGGACATTTGTTCTGGATAATGGCACCTGCTAATTGATGTTCCATATATGAATATACTGATAATGATGTGTGTTGTATCTTATAGATTTACTATATTGATGATGGGAGGAGCCCAGTCTGCCAAAATGGACTTAATCTACAGAGACTGTGAGACGTGACTCTGGACTGTCCTCCTGTAAGAACTTATTGGCCTCTTCCTCTCTATCTTTCTCTACAACAGTGGCACTCTCTGCCTTGTACCCTCTCTGCCACTGTCTTCCTCTACTCAAAGACATGGAACCTTCCACCCAAAATGCGATGGCACCTATGGCAGAGAGGGAAAGTGGCATCACAAGATGGAGATGGAGGAGATTCCCTCACCTTACTTTTGTAGTTCTTGTCTTAATTTGATATTTATGAATGTTATGAACATTATATGCTATGCTGTTGTTTAGTGGATTCGAATGGAAATGTTGTCATTTTATAAAAGAAAACATGGTGTGTGGACCTATGCTGTGTTTCTTGTCTGTGTGTGAGTGTGTACATGCTCTTAGGGAGGAACACACCTACCTTCCAATTGAACCCAAATACCTTCAAAACTCCAGTATTTAGTTGACAGAACATCTATTCCTGGCCTGCAGGAACTGCTGCGCCCTCGCAGCGTGATGTTGTGCTGGGATGAGATTTCTCTCCCATGTTTTTCTGGTTGAGAACAGAACAGGAGGAAACTGAGAAACAACGTCAGGCTCTGGAGATATCATATGAGGGGGAAGACAAGACATGACCCAAATATGTCTGGCTCTACTGCTGTTTTAGGAGGCTCTACGCTCCACCACCATAGTATGTGTGTGTGATCCCAAAAAGGGTAGACAGCCCCCGACTATGTTTCATCACAACAGGGGAAGTGACTGCTGGATTATGGATGTAGACACCAATCAAGACAGTACAGCAGAAGTGATGAAAGCTATTTGGATTTTAATGGTGCATAGTTGAGACTGTGTGTGTGTGTGTGTTTCCAAGTGTGTATTGGGGTCCCTACTTGCCATGACTCATTGATGGTGGGGGGGTATTCTACAGTTTGTGTGAGTTGTTCCGTCTTTGATAATGTTTCATTGTGGATCTCAGTACTGTACTGCCAGTGTGCACGTGCATGTGTGTGCGTGTGTATCAACGTCTGTGTCTGGGCGCGGTGTCAGTTCAGTTGGACATGGGAAAGTGGGTTAAATTCCAGGCATTCTGCTACATCTGAGACTGCTACAGCGTTTGGGGTTGTCTGTTTCTTTCGGAGGCTTTATCTTACCCCTCGTGTGTGAGCCAGCCTCTTGCCAAACCCCACTGGCTATGGAAAAACAATTTAACTGGATTTAATTTGTGCCCCCCCCTTCCCTCCCTCCTCATCCTCCCCCTCTTTCTTTTCTTTTGTGCACCTCTGAGACTTTGGGAATTCATCTTATTTAGTATACTAAATAACTCCATGCCCGGGTTGAGTGCAGGCTTCCTCTCTACAGGTTATAGGCAAGCGTCCATGGCAGGTTTGGTTTTATGCACGAAACCACATCTGGGTTGCGTCCATGGCAGGTTTGGTTTTGTGTGATGTCTGGCTTTTGTTTCTAGTGTATTTTCTCATGACAGTACAATGGCATACTTCCTTCTGTAGTCAGGTAGCTTATAAGATACTAGTGTGAGAGGACAACCCTTTTGAGACATAAAGCATTATCTTTCTTGTTTGTTGCATTATTATGCTACTTTTTTCAATTTTTCTCACCACCTTTTGTCACCTCTTTTTACTTTTTTTTTCTCTCTTTCATTCTCTGGTTCTCTCTCTCTGTCTGCCTCTCTCACTCTCTCTCTCTCCCTCTCTCGCCAGTCCTTGCCTCAAAGGGTTAAAGGAGGCACAATGAAACCTAGTTGCCAAGAGCCCTAACCACTTTTTCCACTCTTGCTGGAAACTTTCCAGTGCTATTTATAAGAAAACTCAAACCTCACAATCAAGAGTGACTGTTTGCCAGAATTAAGATATTATCCTAAAATTATAAATATCCTAGAAACATTATTTATTTTCATAATTTATGTGAATAACCTAATATAATTTGCTTGGAGGAAAAGTTGTCTTATTTCATTTCATATAATTTACATTATGTGAAGCCTTTCACTAGGCTAGGCCTGTTTATTCAAAGCATGCATGTCTAATGATTGCCCACTGTAAAGTAATCACAGTCCATCTTATTTGATGACATAGATAGAAATGAATGTAAAATCCATGAGCAATGCATTCATAGATATATTATGTAATGTAGCATAATAGGCTATAGCCTACTCAAATATTCAATAAGGTGGCCTTGGCACAAACAACTTTTGAATATATGTTTATGTTAACTTATGTAATTCAGCTATCATGTACTAATGCCAACCTCACGCAAAAAACCTTTCCAAGAAGAGGGTAGTGATAGGCGTGTACCGAGCCTTGAAAAAAAGGAATGTTATACTCTCTCACTGTCTCTAGGCAATTTCTACATCAAACAGCTTGCACATTTGATATATTTTTCTCTCTCTCTCTCTCTCTCTCTCTCTCTCTCTCTCTCTCTCTCTCTCTCTCTCTCTCTCTCTCGTCGGACACAGCATCCAACAATCACATCACCATACAAATCAGTGAGCAATCTCGCAGTCGCATCCATGGAGCGCTCCTGCCGCCTGTCCTATATTGCATGAGATAAAAATGTAATATGACATAGAAGCAAGAAGCCCTGGCACTTCAAAAGGAAAACAAACCTTGCAGTCCACACCTCAACACTCGCGACTTTCCAACGATACCGACTTGAAACTTTTACGGAAAACAAACCTTGCAGTCCACACCTCAACACTCGCGACTTTCCAACGATACCGACTTGAAACTTTTACAAGACACCCCCCCCGGCCGCTACATGGACGAGGAAGAAGCCGCGGAAAGGATGCCTCCAGCCGGCGTCCGACCCCGGAATCGCCCGCCACAAGTGATGCTGAACCAGAAAAAGATCAAAGCGAGACGGAAAAAGCGGAAGGAGTTGGTTTTGATCCAAATATGCTTGTTGGGAGGGATGCTTCTCTTCGTCAAGGGGTTCTCCTACCTAGCAGAAAATTCAGGTGAGGGTAGGCTTATCAATTTACCCCTCTGTTGGGGGATGGAATGCTGAAGAGGGAGTTCCATATGGCTGTAATGTAGCCGATAGAGTCCATTGTTTTGTTACCATGTTTTGTAACAATACAATGTTACATTGATTTCGCACATCATGCAAATTGTGTTTAACTGTAGGCTACTTTTGAGTTGGTCTCATTTTTCACAGTTGTGAACTGGACTGGAGTGTGGTCAGGGGCGTCATGCACCCCCAAAATCTGAGGGGGCACAGAGTAGGTGAGGATGGATATAATATAATATGCCATTTAGCAGACGCTTTTATCCAAAGCGACTTAGTCATGTGTGCATACATACATGGCTGGTGTGTGTGTGGTTAGGGGGGGGGGGATTTTTCATTTTTCAAACACCTGAAACAGCTTTTTCCCTGCAATCTAGAGCAGGGGTTTCGTTCTGAACAGAACCATTATTTATTTTCGTTCCGTTCCACTGTTCCGACCTGCAAACATAAAGTTCTGAACCGGTTCCAACCAAAAATAGTAACGCTTTACATCGTTCCTTTCTGTTCCTTTTTAAAACGTTGAAAAAAAAAATATATATATATAGCTCGACATTAAATTACTTCACCAATCAGTGCGGATAGAGCAGTTTGCTGTGGAGCAGGTAAGCAATTTATTCTGTATAGGAAAGTCATTAAGAGCAAATTGTATTTTGACGCAACAGTATGGTTTAATCATAATGAAAGACAAACACACACACTGTGCTGCATGTCACAGTGTAGAGCGTGCGATGCAACTGAAGTTTTGAGGTTGAGGATGGAGGAAGCTTGTTTTGAAGCGCTGGGCATCTTGTTATGACATTAATTATCTGAATTAGGCCCACATAATTATACCTATGGAGGAGTGGCTTCTATAGGGAAACTTTGAATGTCGTTGAACTTCCGAGTTGGTTTAACGTTGGACCAGCACAAATGTTAGCTAGCTAGCTAACAAGCTTGTGTGTGCAGAGCAGCACTAGAATTAAAAACACGTTTACCTTTTTTGTAGTTAATAAATCCAATGGGAAACGTGATAAGTATAGGATCCTTAACTAGCATTGAAAAGTCCATCCATTCTTCTCTAATTAAACATCTCTCCCTAATTTCTGAATCACTCTTGTAACGTCAGTAGGCTACAGTAACCTATGCTTCAGAGAGGAGAGGCACGTAGCCTACACACACACGCACACACACTGGCAAAGATTTCCAGTTGCCAGGCAGACTCTGGAATAAGTTTGAGCGATAGAGTGAGGGCTTTGCATAGGCACTATGTTGCGATTATTTTGGGACTGGGAAGATAGCCCTATTTGGTAAAAGACCAAGTCCATATTATGGCAAGAACAGCTCAAATAAGCAATAAGAAACGACAGTCCATCATTACTTTAAGACATGAAGGTCAGTCAATACGGGAAATTTCAAGAACTTTGAAAGTTTATTCAAGTGCAGTCGCAAAAACCATCAAGTGCTATGATGAAACTGGCTCTCATGAGGACCACCACAGGAATGAAAGACCCAGAGTTACCTCCGCTGCAGAGGATAAGTTCAATAGAGTTACTAGCCTCAGAAATTGCATCCCAAATAAATGCTTCACAGAGTTCAAGTAACAGACACATCTCAACATCAACTGTTCAGAGGAGACTGTGTGAATCAGGCCTTCATGGTCAAATTGCTGCAAAGAAACCACTACTAAAGGACACCAATAATAAGAAGAGACTTGCTTGGGGCCAAGAAACACGAGCAATGGACGTTAGACCGGTGGAAATCTGTCCTTTGGTCTGGAGTCCAAATTGGAGATTTTTGTTTCCAACCGCAGTGTCTTTGTGAGACGCTGTGTGGGTGAACGGATGATCTCTGCATGTGTATTTCCCACCGTAAAGCATGGAGGAGGAGGTGTTATGGTGTGGGGGTGCTTTGCTGGTGATACTGTCTGTGATTTATTTAGAATTCATGGCACACTTAACCAGCATGGCTACCACAGCATTCTGCAGTAATACGCCATCCCATCTGGTTTGTGCTTAGTGGGACTATAATTTGTTTTTCAACAGGACATTGACCCAACACACCTCCAGGCTGTGTAAGGGCTATTTTACAGAAAAGGAGAGTGATGGAGTGCTGCATCAGATGACCTGGCCTCTACAATCCCCCGACCTCAACCCAATTGAGATGGTTTGGGATGTTTCGGATGGCAGAGTGAAGGAAAAGCAGCCAACAAGTGCTCAGCATATGTGGGAACTCCTTCAAGACTGTTGGAAAAGCATTCCAGGTGAAGCTGGTTGAGAAAATTCCCAAGAGTGTGCAAAGCTGTCATCAAGGCAAAGGGTGTCTATTTGAAGTATCTAAAATATATTTTGATTTACCACTTTTTTTGGTTACTACGTGATTCCATA